AAGCTCCGGGGCCTGACTGTATTCACCCACGAGTACTTAAGGAGCTAAGTGGGGAAATAAGTGAACCTCTGTATTTAATTTTTCAAGATTCTTTTGTTTCAGGTGTTGTACCGGAGGATTGGAGGAAGGCAGATGTTGTTCCTATATTTAAAAAGGGTTCAAAATCCTTGCCTGGAAATTATAGACCTGTGAGCTTAACTTCTGTAACTGGGAAAATATTTGAAGGGCTATTAAGGGATAATATTCAGGAATTCATTGGGAAGAACTTTGTTATTAGCAATAATCAGCATGGTTTTATGAAACATAGGTCATGTCAAACTAACCTAATTGCATTCTACGAAGAAGTAAGTAGAAGTATAGATCAGGGTGTTGCAGTGGATGTGATCTACTTGGACTTTGCCAAGGCATTTGATACGGTTCCTCACAATAGGTTAGTCTTCAAACTAAAAGAAATTGGTCTAGATGAATATTCCTGTTCTTGGGTAGAACATTGGCTTAAGGACAGAGTACAACGAGTTGTCATTAATGGTAAATTTTCAGGCTGGACAAAAGTGGTAAGTGGTGTCCCTCAGGGTTCTGTTTTGGGACCACTTCTATTTAACATATTTATAAATGATCTTGAAATAGGCATTGAAAGCCATGTATCAGTGTTTGCAGATGACACAAAACTTTGTAAAGTAATAAAATGTGAGCAGGATATTGCTTTGTTGCAGAGAGATTTGGATAGATTGGGGGACTGGGCACTAAAATGGCAGATGAAATTTAACATAGAGAAATGCAAAGTTATGCACTTCGGGGTTAAGAATGCACAAGCAACTTACACACTAAATGGTAGTGAATTAGGGATAACCACACACGAGAAGGATTTGGGAATTGTTATAGACAACAAATTAGGCAGCAATATGCAATGTCAATCTGCAGTTGCTAAGGCCAGTAAGGTTTTGTCATGTATAAATAGGGGCATAAATTCTCGGGATGAAAATATAATTTTGCCTCTTTATAAATCGCTGGTAAGACCACACCTTGAATATGCTGTGCAATTTTGGGCGCCTGTTCTAAAGAAGGATATCATGGCACTGGAGAGGGTCCAGAGACGAGCTACAAAATTGATAAAAGGAATTGAGCATTTTAGTTATGAAGAAAGGTTACAAAAATTAAATCTGTTTCGTTTGGAAAAACGGCGCCTGAGAGGGGATATGATAACTTTATACAAATATATTCGGGGCCAGTACAAACCTTTATCTGGAAATCTATTCATAAACAGGGTTATACATAGGACACGAGGTCACACATTTAGGCTGGAAGAAAGGAGATTTCATCTAAGGCAAAGAGGTTTTTTTACAGTAAGAACAATAAGGATATGGAATTCTCTGCCTGAAGAGGTGGTTTTGTCAGAGTCCATACAGATGTTTAAACTGAAATTGGATAAATACTTACAAAAACATAACATACAGGGATATAATTTCTAATTAGTGGGTAATAGCTGATTGATCCAAGGAGACATCTGACTGCTATTTTGGGGTCAAGAAGGAATTTTTTCCTAGTTTGTGGCAAAATTGGAAGTGCTTCAGACCAGGTTTTTTGCCTTCTTTTGGATCAACAGCAACAACATTTCTGAGGAAGGCTGAACTTGATGGACGCAAGTCTCTTTTCAGCTATGTAACTATGTAACAACCTTATAGAAAACACATTGAAATATACAAAACACATTGCTCTCAAGAGAAATACAGATTAATCCTGTATAGGTACAATTGGCAGTTCCCTTTTTTGTGCCTTTTCCCACATATCCCACTCTTGTTTATATTTTTGTTCGGTTTTCCTTATATTCACTCTAAGACAATGTTCATACAAATAATTTACATTAACTAAGTGTATACAGTGTGATACATTTGGAACTATTTCCTTTCTCCAATGTTGACTTAAAGTCTTAATTGCAGTTATATTGATATGGTATGTAAGGTATCTGGCTGTATATGAAAGTTTAGTCGGATAATTTTGTAACAGGAAACATTTCGGAGTACGAGGAATAATAATTCCTATGCTTGTATCCATTCAATTTTTTTACTGCTGTCCAGAACTCCTGAAGTTTTATGCACTGCCACCAGATGTGAAGCATTGTACATTTTTCTTTTCTGCATCTCCAACACACATCAGATGTATTGGGATACATGTGCTTAAGACGAGTCGGTTATAAATACCATTAATAAAGTAATTTCCTAGAAATGTTATTTGTACATAGAGTTAACTGTTTATGTGCTCTAAATATTTGTTGCCAATTTGTATCAGAAAGGGCATAGTTTAATTTTTTTCCCCCAGGCTATAACAAAATTATATTTTTTAGTCAGGCTCAAATCTATTGAATTAGAATAAAATAGATATATTAACTTGTTTGATGGTTTTAATATTAACAGAATTTTTTTGAAGCTCGTCAGTTGTTGCTCGTGTACAATCCTTTTTTAATACTTATATTGTTCCTGCATCCACGTTTGTATTTGTCTATATGAGAAGTGTGCCGTGAGGGGAAGTTTATCATTTGTTTGCAGCGTGTAAAAATCTATGAAAATGGGACCTTGAAACAATCAAAGCATAAACTTGATATGGTGTCGTTCGCAAATTTTATAATTAAAATCCGGAATAGTAGATCTGAGTGTTGAAATTGGCATAGCTAATGAAAGTGGTTTCCTAGTGCTATGTATATGTCTATAGATATCCCAAATATTAATGGTCATTGTTGTTGTAGGTAACATTGATACTTTTTTGAGTCTAAGGTGTCTTGGTAACCATATTAAGGATAAAAGGGAATTACCTTGTGTTATTATGTCTTCTAAATGTACCCATTGCGGTGGATTATATTGTATTTATAATCGTGTGATTGTGTGAATTTAATACCTAAAAAAGTGAAATTATCGTATCTCCAATCATAGAAACATAGAACCATAGAATGTGACGGCAGATAAGAACCATTCGGCCCATCTAGTCTGCCCAATTTTCGAAATACTTTCACTAGTCCCTAGCCTTATCTTATAGTTAGGATAGCCTTATGCCTATCCCACGCATGCTTAAACTCCTTTACTGTGTTAACCTCTACCACTTCCAATCAAATGGGTGTTGAATTTGTAATTCCCTTATATTTTCTTTTGAAATGTTTATCCCCATAGCTTGTGTTTTATGTACATTTACCTTGTAATATGAACAGCTGCTATATTTAATAGTGTAGTAAATGTTTGTAATGAAATATATGGTTCTGCAAAAAGTGTTAATTTATATTCTCGATTTTGCAATTTTATACCATGTATATCTACATTTTCTCGGACTAGATGGGTAAGAGGTACTAAGGTCAATACATACAGCAGGTGCAAGAGGACAGCCTTGTCATTCAAGTTAGATAGCAAGGGAACCTAACATTTTGGTAGCAGTACCAGGAAAGATCATAAGAAGATGAAACCTCTGTTTCCATATGCACTTACATTGTCTTTCGAAAGAAAACTACGTACGTTTAAAAAGTTTAGAAATGTAATAAAACTGAACACATTAGGAAAATATGACAAATCAAATTAGCAAAGTCATAAATGCCAAAAAAAAGACAAATCCATTTTAAATGTGCACCCTTTATGACATCATCATATAACTCTATCTGCAAATTAACCCCTACATCTGAAAGTAATATTTTCAAAATTAGTACTCTCGGTCCTATGTCATAATTTACAGACAAACAAGTTAAATATCAGATTTTTCTATATTTTAGCTTTTCAATAATTTTAGCATTCAAATTTAGTTTGGAATGTTATTAGATTGTGTTTTAAGCATTATACGTTGTGTTTTTATAATTCATTTCAGTGTTAAGTTTAGGACAAATGATCCTTAAAAAGCAAAAATAAATTATAGAACTTCATGAAATAAACGAATTAGAGTACTATTTAATTTTTCCATTGTCACATTTCTAATAACTTTGTCATGTGCCACGTGTTACCGTTGTAGAATATTGACAGATGTGCATAAAATATTTGCACTATTTTGCAAAATTGCTTTTCATTAGACTAATGAGAAAGTGGCAGTAATTTTCTTTTCAACGCACAAGTTGATATTGAAGTTTTGATATCTCTGCATGGTAATTACTGTCAGTTTCTACTCTTATACAAGAGAATCAGTTTGTAATAACTCGGGCCCCCAGTGTATATTCCTTGTGCAATTTGCTTTTATGCAAAATGAAACGGCAAGACATCTTTGCAGCAAATAGAAAGAGTGTGGGCCAAGGCTCTGGCAGAGTGACTACAACAGCTTCTCATGAAATGAGTTAAGTGCAAAATAACATATACATTTGACTGATTCCACCCAGGGGATCACAACAGTCTCATACATTAAAACTGCAATTTTCACAACCAATTACATCAAGAGTCAGTAATATAAAGATGGAAAAGTTAAACCCTTCACCATAATTAAAAATGATTGGTAATATGGAAGAAGAAGAAGAAATGGATGATTATTGGGTTGTTGTAGACAAATTTGAACACTACTGTGCACCTAGATGCAATGGAAGTTATGAAAGGTATCTTTAAGGATGTAGAATGCTGAATAAACCAGAGGCCAATGAGGAGTATGAAACAGAACTGTTAATAGACTGCTCGACTTTGCAGAAGCCTCCTGTGTGTGATTAAAGTTCAATTTAAAGAGCAGGATATAAAAGCTTCTAAAGTAAGTTAACATCTGAAAAAGAAACTATTTTTTTCATGCTGGCTGTGTTGAGTTACAAACAGGAGAGGTGTGGCTATGGCTGCATGGGCACATGATGTGATTTAACTCCTAAATGGCAGAGAATGGATCACTGAAACTGCAGGGGCATGATCTATACACCAAAACTGCTGCATTAAGCTAAATTTGTTTTGGTGACTATAGATCAACTTTAATAAAGTTGAAATGAGGGTACAATTAAGTGAAATTGAGAATATATTAAACCAATAATAAATTAGATTTAGCAAATGAAACTGTTTCATAACCATCTGCAAGAAGCTCAGTTTGATTATAGTGCAATGATTATACTGTAATCATTACACTATAATCAAACTGAGCTATTTTACAGAGCAATTTAGGTAATGCTTCAGCTATTAACCTGTTCACTATCAGAGTCCATTAATCGGGAATTCTGTTGGATTTCATAGCAAAACTGCATTTATGTTATCACTCACTTTTGAGAATTTGAGTTCATAGCCTTTCAAAAAGGCTGTGTAGTTTGAAATACATGCTAAATATTTTATCTAGACAGCATGTTTGTCTAAAACACATTATTTTTATTTGATGACACAACAATGGCAATGCAATGGATGAGGTTAATATACTCAAACACACTAAAGCATAGTAAATGTTCTGAGAAAAAAAGGACACTATGCTAAAGATATACTGTAGGATTTGAGAGATGTGTAGCATACCAAATTATTAGCAGGTCAGCATGAAAAGATGTATTCCAACAAATGCAGCCCAAAAATGTCTCTAAATTTGTCATCGGTGACTAAAATATAGATTTTTCCATGTTAAAAAACCCTGGTTATTTAAATTTTTTTTTTATATATATTTATAGTTGAATGTCATGTAGGTTATACTTGTCACCTATCTCTCACATCTCTTCAACGTGTGTACCACACCGAGTAAGAGGGCAAGCTTAAATGGGCTCCATCACATGCAGAGGTCTACATATTTTGCTAAGAACCCAAATGGCGTTGCACTCCTTAGGGTATGGTGACTTGAGGGTGCAACAAGCATAAAGATATATTTACTTGAAGATGTCCCCAACATCGTTTTTTGAGCTTGTAGTGCTTTTGTCAGACACGCACACCAGAGCTGTACTGTACTGTTGTCTATGGACATTCCCCTAAGACTGTTGCTTTCCTACTGATAACATTTTTCAGTGAGCAAGACAATACTGTAATCCCGAGAGAAGACTGTTGGAATTGACACTACGTGATAGCAGAAGCTCAGTCTTGACAACCTGATAGTACTATGTACTATAAGACACAGTAGCCTCTATTTTGTCAAGTGACATCTTGACTGTATTGGAATTTCAATTAAATTCCAACACAGTCAATATGAGCATTTCATAAAGTTTCTGCCTTCATGAAATGTCATACAATTTTTTTGGGTGACAGAACCACTATAATAATAGGTAGCCTAATTATGACTTGTGTTTTCCCAAATGTTTTTATTCATTTATTTATTTCTTACATTGTTCTTATGAGCATGTGAGAGGCAGTAAAGACAACTGCAAATCTAAACCATGTATAGCAGATATCCCTATTTACAGGCACAAACAAGTACCTGGCCAGGAGAATATTTAAGTAGTATCTTTGTTCTTTTATATTCCTTTTTTTCTACAGTTTAAATTATCAAGTGCAATATGTGCGGCAGCTTGCCGGAGTCAGCAATTTATATCACTTCTATTACTAGGGAAACAGATACAATGTGATAACCACATGGGTAGCAAAACACCCTACTACTTTTTCGGAGCATTGCGTGGTGTTTAATAAATTCTGAACAGATTGTTAGTATAAAAAATCAAAGTTGGCAATGTCTGCTAGAATCTATCTATATTATATTCCTCATCTCACTTCGCTCATTGCTGTGATGAGGGGAGCTATTCAGAATTAAGTCTTAAACAAATTAGTTGGAAAAATGTTGTGCAGAACAGAACAACTATTATGTGTGTAAACAACATGAGACCATACTTAACAAAAATATTATCTGCAATCTTTAAGAGTTCGATTTTATTCTGCATATAGAAACATAGAATGTAACAGCAGATAAGAATCCTTCGGCCCATCTAGTCTGCCCAATTTTCTAAATACTTTCATTAGTCCCTGGCCTTATCTTATAGTTAGGATAGCCTTATGCCTATCCCACGCATGCTTAAACTCCTTTACTGTGTTAACCACTACCACTTCAGCTGGAAGGCTATTCCATGCATCCACTACCCTCTCAGTAAAGTAATACTTCCTGATCTTATTTTTAAACCTTTTCCCCTCTAATTTAAGACTATGTCCTTGTTGTGGTAGTTTTTCTTCTTTTAAAATATAGTCTCCTCCTTTACTGTGTTGATTCCCTTTATGTATTTAAATGTTTCTAGCATATCCCCCTTGTCTCGTCTTTCCTCCAAGCTATACATGTTAAGTTCCTTTAACCTTTCCTTGTAAGTTTCATCCTGCAATCCATGAACCAGTTTAGTAGCCCTTTACTGAACTCTCTCTAAGGTATCAATATCCTTCTGGAGATACGGTCTCCAGTACTGTGTACAATACTCCAAGTGAGGTCTCACCAGTGTTCTGTACAATGGCATGAGCACTTTCCTCAGAGAGCATGACTTGTGAGGGGTTGAGGACCTCCTTGCACATTTTCCTAAAGTCAGTGTGACAAACGCTCCTTCCCACAAACATTTGGCATGAACTCCTGGAAGTTGGCCTCCTGCCCACCGACTATGGTCCAGATCTGAGACACCATTTGGGAGTTACCTTGTGTAGTGGAGCTCCCTGTACTCCCGCTGGGTACCTCTGCCAGAGGGGTTGCTTCCTAGCTGGACCAGGGGAAATGGATGGGGGAACTAGCCCTTTTAGTCCTTACAAGGTCTTTCCCCATTGCATCCCCTGCAAGCTGGAACAGCAGATACAGGGGTTAAATCTTCCTTCCCTCCAGTAACCAGAGGAGACACAGTTCTGGTGGTACTAACTCTGACAATCTTTATTTGGAACACACAGCTTTTATGCGCAGACCACCACAGGGGGTCTCTATTCAGTTCAACACAATCCCAGGCAGGAGGGGGTTGGGTTACAGATAGCCATCTCCCGCTCTGGGAGATACCGTACACATGGACACACATTAAAACATCTTCCATATAGGGGGGATAGCCTTTGGGGCTTGGCACCCCGGGAAGGGGTCACACAGATAAAACCTTCGTCACTAGATAGCCCCGGGTCCCATCTGGGATCCTAGCAAAAAGCCAGAGAATTCATCTTCTAAAGTCTGGGGCTCGAGGAACTGTACATCCCCGAAATTAATTCCATGAAGTTGCTTGGTTTAGTCCTGCAAATTCAAACTTCGTACCTAAACCAGGCAACAACCAATCAGCTGAAAGGCGTGAAACCAAAATGCGCCAATCAGTTTGCAGGGAGGATAGGAGTTTTGCTGCCCAATCAGGTCGAAAGGGTGTGAAACTGTTACAAAAATCGGTGCTCAGGTAGGAGAGAGGTTTCGCTGCCCAATCAGGAGAAAGGGTGCGAAACGCAGTTTGAAAGGGTGCTACTTCTCTGATTGGTCACCTGCGCCCTGCAGCAACCAATCAGCAACCATTTGTGCCGACCAATCAGGAGACTGGCACGAACCCAGTTTGAATGGGCGCACTCTCTTACATTGGTCAGCATGGACTTCCATGCCGCCAGCGGGAACCCTGTGGCTGTGCAGCCGACCCACAGCTCCAGGGATGCCTCTGGGGCTCCGGAGAGAGCGCTCTTTTGGCCAGCTACGAACCTAGCCAGTCACTATAGCTCCGTTGGGAGCAGGTAGGGTGATACCGACACAGGGACCTGAGAACCATGTAAGCAGGCCCGTTCGGGAAATGAATGATTCCACTGGTGGGCATTTGGCTATACGAACCAGCAGCCACCCAGGGGAAGCATGCGCCGCTTGTTTGCCTTGTGATATGTGGTTTAGACACCTCGTTACGAGGTGTAAACGTTCTATATGAATGTTCTAAATGAGGTATCGGGGTGTTCCCCATTTTGGAGATGAACAGGTTTAGTTCGTATGCGCTCTCCCGAACGGGGAGCAAGAAAAACACACAAATACATCACAATTACATGGGAAAACACAGAAAACAAGAGAAAAACCCTGGGAATAAGCATTGGGAGCACAAAATACAAGGGCAAAACATATGAATATTCGGTGGGCATGATACTTAGTGACGGCGGTCCGTCACACCCTGCCCACTCGCTATTAGCAGCTTTCCCTGGGTGCCCCTGGTTCAGCACTTTCGTTTCATTCAAATGGAACTGAACTGAACTAGCTCCCTGGTGGCCGTTCACATGAATCAAACCCATGAATGGTCCTCAGCTGTACTTAGCCGCGACCTCTATTGTACTAATTTCGGCATGAGGACTTTGTGGGTACCTGGTCACCTCAGCGGAACTTAGCTGCGAATGTTATGGAACTGTTTTCGGCATGATGTGACTGTGCGGTTCCCAGACAACTTGGTCCGCGGTTTGGAACCATTTTGCAACCTGCCTGCAGAGCGCTTTTTGGATGGAAAGTGACTGAGACTAAGCAGAACAAACGCTACCTTTGAGTCTGGCTAAGCAACCCCATATTGTGGCTGCAGGGGCTCCGAAAGGTGACCAGAAAAAGCACTAAATGCCCTGGAACTATTTTGGGTATGGGACCACGTGTGCAGCCGTTAAGAACTTTAACATGGTGGCGGATCCCCTACGCTGCATGAATCTGAGCGTTATTTGGAAGACTTGGGTGCTCAGATCAAGGCTATTTGGGGATGAATTATTTGTAGGGTTGTTGTATGTTTTTTCTATAATTTGGGGTACTTTTGTGCTTTTATATTTTGTGTTGGGATCTCTGTTCCAGGGAGATATTTAGCTTACCAGTCCTTAACTCAATTATCTTCCAGGCCCAGTGATTCTTGGGAGAGGCTTGTGTTGAATACAATGGAGACAACATGCTGAGGTCTGTGCATAAAAGGCCAAGTTTCGCTCATTAAAATCAGTTGTACTCCCAGAACTATGTGTCGTCTAGTTATCGGGAGGGGATAGGGCTAATTGAGTTATATTGGTTCAGGCAGCTGGCTCTTCTGACGGCCGCAGGGGGAGCTGGCTGTTCTGCCTCTGCTCCCCCTCCCAGCGCACTGTTTTATGAGACCGGGGCTGGAATATGACATCATATTCCGGCCCCGGTCTCATTAAGCTGCGCGCTGGGGAGCAGAGACAGAACAGCCAGCTCCCCCTGTGGCCGCCAAAGGAGCTCCCTCATGCGGCCGCCAGAAGAGCCAGCTCCCCCATGCGGCCGCCATCAGAGCTCCCCACAGGTAGAAAT